TAAGGGTTTGTCTATCTTGTTGATTTTCTCAAAGAACCAGCTTTTTGTTTCATTGATTCTTTGAATAGTTTTATTTGTTTCTAATGGATTGATTTCAGCCCTGAGTTTGATTATTTCCAGCCTTCTGCTCCTCTTGGGTGTATCTGCTTCTTTTTTTTTCTAGGGTTTTCAGTTGGGCCATTAAGTTGTTTGTATGTGATATTACGAATTTCTTCTTGCAGGCACTTAGTGCTATAAATTTTCCTCTGAGTACTGCTTTCAATGTGTCCCATAAATTTGGGTATGTTGTGCCTTCATTTTCATTGAATTCTAGGAAGTTGTTAATTTCTTTCTTTATTTCTTCCTTAACCCAGCTGTCACTGAGTAACAAGTTGTTCAGTTTCCATGTGCATGTCGGCTTTTTGTTATTTCTGTTGTTGTTGAGGTCCAGCTTTAGTCCATGGTGGTCAGATAAAATACAAGGGATTATTTCAATCTATTTCAATTTTTATATCTGTTGAGGCTTGCTTTATGACCAACTATATGGTCTATTTTGGAGAAGGTTCCATGCGGTGCTGAAAAGAAGGTATACTCTTTTGAGTTTGGATGAAAAGATCTGTAGACGTCTATTAGGTCCATTTGATTTAGGGACTCTGTAAGTGTTTTTATTTCCCTATTTGTTTTCTGTCTAGTTGATCTGTCCCTTGGTGAGAGTGGAGTGTTGAAGTCTCCCACTATTAAGGTATTAGGATCAATGTGTGATTTAAGCTTTAATATTGTTTCATTTATGAATGTAGGTGCTCTTGTATTTGGGGCATAGGTATTCAAAATTGTGATGTCCTCTTGGTGGATTTTTCCTTTAATGAGAATATAGTGGCCCTCCTTATCTGCTTTGATTAACTTGGGTTGAATGTCTATTTTATTAGACATTAGGATGGCTACTCCAGCTTGTTTTCTGGAACCATTTGCTTGAAAAACATTTTTCCAGCCCTTTACTCTGAGGTAGTGTTTATCTTTGTTGCATAGGTGTGTTTCTTGGATGCAACAGAATTTTGGATCCTGTTTCCGCAACCATTCTGTTAGTCTGTGTCTTTTTATTGGGGATTTGAGTCCGTTGATGTTGATAGATACTAGTGACCAACTATTGTTACTTACTTTTGATGTGGGGTTGGTGGTGTCACTGAGTTTCATTGCTTGTATTCTTTTGATTTTTTTGTTGTGTAGTTATCTATTTCCTCTGTTTCCTTAGATGTAGTTGTTTTCTTTGGTTTAGAGTTTCCCTTCTAGTAACTTCTGTAGAGCTGGGTTACTATGTAGATATTGTTTAAATTTGGTTTTGTCTTGGAATATCTTGAATTCTCCGTCTATGTTGATTGAAAGTTTTGCTGGGTATAGTAGTCTGGGTTGGAATCTGTGGTCCCTTAAGGACTGTATGATTTCTGTCCAGGCCCTTCTGGCTTTCATAGTTTCTGTTGAGAAATCTGGTGTGATTCTGATGGGTCTACCTTCATATGTTACTTGGCCTTTTTCCCTTGCTGCTTTTAGAATTTTTTCTTGTTCTGTAGGTTCAGTGTTTTGACTATGATGTGACATGAAGAATTTCTTTTCTGGTCTAGTCTACTTGGTGTTCTGTAGGCCTCTTGTATGTTTATGGCCATCTCCTTCTTTAAGTTGGGAAAGTTTTCTTCTATAATTTTCTTGAAAATATTTTTCGGACCTTTGAGCCTTATGTCTTCTTTTTCTTCTACTCCTATTATTCTTAGATTTTGTCTTTTCATGGTGTCCTTGATTTCTTGGATGTTTTGTGTTTGGAACTTTTCTGATTTTATTTTTTCTTTGAGAGATGTGTCAATTTCCGCAAGTGTGTCTTCGGCTCCTGAGATTCTTTCTTCCATCTCTTGTATTCTGTTGGTGATGCTTACCTTTGTAGTTCCCGATCTTTTCTCTATGTTCTTCAGCTCCTGGTTTTTCTCTATTTATGTTTTCTTTATTGATTCTAATTCTGTTTTCATGTTTTGCACCATTTCCTTCATCTGTTTGAATGTGGAGTCCTGCTTTTCAATGACAGCTTCTATTTTTTGTCCGTTTCCTCTCTATGTATCACTAATTGTGCCTCTACTTCTTTGGGTATAATTGCCTGTATTTCTATGAGAGCTTTGTTTATTTCTTCTTTATTTGCCTTCATTTGTGTGGACATTTCTTTGAGAGCTTTGTTCATTTCTTCTTTGTTTGCCTCAATTTTCATGGTCATTTCTCTGAAAGCTTGATTTGCTTCCTCTTGGTTCATCTCAATTTCTTTGGCTATTTCTCCGAGGGCTTTGTTCATTTCATCTTTATGGGCCTCTAATAGCTGGAGAAACATAGTTTTGAGGTCGTTTTCTTGTATATCTAGTGAATTGAAATGTCCATTCTTTTGTGGGTTTGCTGGTGAGGTCATTGTGTCCTGATTTTTGTTGGGAGTGTTCTTACGTCTGCCTCTAGCCATCTGGTTATTTATTTTTTATTTTTATTTTTTTTTTTCGTGATTTTCTTTTTTTTTTTTTTAATTTTATTTTTCTTTTTAGTTACATTTTGTTAACTCTGTGTCCCAGCTGTATCCCGCTCCCTCATTCCCTCCCCAACCCCACACTCCCTCCCTGGTCTCCTCCCTGCCCCTTTCCAAGTCCCCTGATAGGGGAGGACCTCCTCCCCTTTCATCTGACCCTGTTTTATCAGGTATCTTCAGGGCTGGCTGCAAAGTCCTCCTCTGTGGCCTAACAGACTGCTCCTCCCCTGGGGTGGGGGTCAAACAGCCTGCCCTTGAGATCCTATTAGAAATAGTCCATCTGGTTATTTATAACCCTCACTGTTTGTTCCTCGAGTTTGTAGTTTGGGCTATGATAGTCTCTGTTTTCTGGACTGTTTTTTTCAGGAAGATGAGAGAGGTTCACTGCTTTGGGAGTGTGCATTGTGGTTTCAGTTTTGCCTAAGTAAGGAATTTGACACTGGCACTATTCGCATGCGCTTTTAGCGGGCGCAGTGTGCATGCGTGGATTCTCTGACTATTTCAGTGGCCTTCCACTATTATGCAGTTCTGTCTGAGATCTGGGGATTGTTTGCCTGGATTACACTGGTGGACCCACAAGGCAGAAGTTTCAACGTTGGGGTCGCTATCCCAAGAATCCCTATGATGCCCACACTAGGGGTGTGGGTGGCAGGGATCTCGTCTGGTTGCTTCTGTAGAGAGGCCCTGGGTCTGGGGCAAACTCTCCCTAGAAGGCTCACTCAATCTCTTGCAGGACCAGTTGGAATGCACAGGGGTTCCCCTTGCTCTCTACTCTCTGATTTGGTCCTGCTGCGGTAAATGCGCGGGTAGGCTAACAGTCAGCTCTGTGACACTGTGGCCGCAGGACTCCGTGTCCACCTTTCCTGTGTGCTGCCTCTCTGTCCTTTCCCTCTGCCAGGAGGGGTTATGTTGACTTGTGCCCCGGGGTAGCATGGGAAAGAGTTAGGTTGAGTGTTCTCAATCCCAGATCCCGGGGCCCAGATCTCTCTGCCAGAAGCAGCCTGGTGGAAGAAACTATGTTAGCTGATCCCTAGAGAGTACCAGGTAGGGTTGTGTGTCCTCAGATCCATAGCTTGGGTTTCTCTGCCAGGGGCCACTGGGTGAGCTGGAGAGGGAGTGCTGTGTCTTATGGCAGGCTGCCTCTCTGTCCTTCCCCTCTGACCTTCCCCTCTGCTAGGGCAAGCTTTTGGCGGTGCTATCAGGGGAGTGCCAGAAGTGCTTCTCAGTCCCGATCCTGAGCTGGGGTTTCTCTGCCAGGGGTCAGGGGGCCGCTAGTGATGGAACTAGGTGCTAGACCTTATTGCGCTGGACCCAGGAGAGTCTCAGGATGTGTAGAATGACCACAGTCCCAGATCCCGAACTGAAATTTGTTTGCTAGGAGCAGCCAGCAGCACTGTGGTCCCGGCACTGTGAAGCTGCTTTTCACCTCTTTATCCTTCTGCTCCACCGCAGCGGGGTTATGGCGGCGTTTGGGGGAGTGCCCGAAAGGATTGGGTTTTCTCAGCCCCGATCTCGGGTTGGGGTATAGACAATGTGGTCTGTGGCAGATTCTGTTGGGCACCTCCTGCCTCCTCCGAAGAGGGAGTAGGGATTTTGAGCTGGGCGAGCAGCTGCTATCCGCCCGCGGCGGGAGCTCAGTTGTGCTGGCGGCAGGTACCAGCTGTGGTCAGAGAGACCTTCCAGGGAAAGACTAGGTGACCCGTGACCAGTCTGGCAACTTTCCTTCCCCATGGGGTTTTCTTGCAACTGGGGCTCCCAGCCTTAGGCCCCCTTGTGCCCACCAATCAGCCTGGGAAAGTGATCATGACAAGCAGGCTTGCGGCACCAGCCTGGAGACCCAAAGCCCGCGTTAGCCGGGTTCTCTTCTGGGTTCTGGCTGGGCAGCCGAGAGTGGACCCGACCGCTTCCCACGCCGTAGGAGCCTCCCCTCACCTGGGAAACATGATCGATCACTGTTGTTTTAGGGCCCAGAGTTCAGTCTCCTGGTCGCTGCACAGAGAGTGTTGTCCCACTTCTCAGACACAGTGTTATCCCAGTGCCGCCATCTTGGCCCCACCCAGAAAGGCCTAATTGTTAGTTTTTAAAATGGCTGAAGTCACCAGGTTCTCCCTGCATCTACCAGCCCCTACCTGTTAGAGTGCCCTCCTGGCTGGCATACCGAGCCTCCTACCCTAAACTTCACTGGCCCTTGGGCTGTACTTTCTTTTTTTTTGTGAGATAATATAACTTTTAATAAAACAGTCAGATTTCTATTACAGTAATCTCAAAGACAAGGCAAGTAACTGAGTAACTATCATTCTAGAGTCAGTAGTTACTGTTGTAAATATGTAGGCAAAGAAGCAGCCAGTGTGGTTGGGCTTAATGATGCACTGCTCTTCAGGATGACTAGACGTAAAGGCTGGAACCTAAGAACATCCAGCCATACAATGCAGACTTAAAGTAGCTTCTTACCACAACTCCCTAAGACCATCCAAACTCTTCTCTCTTAAAGGACCCTTACATGAAAACAGGTACATACAGGAGGTGCCAAAAGCAGCACACAAAGGAAAACTGCACTTCTGTGGCTCGTTGGTAACGGCCATGGCTGTCACTGTGCTGGTTTGGTCTTCTTGCTCTTGTTCTTCTTGTCCCTCTTCTTCATCCCATCCATGTTAGCTCTCAGTAGATTTGAATAGGCCATCTGAAACTTATTCACTTCTTTGGAACTCACCACAGTGCTGATCTTCCTTTTCCCATTGTGGCTCATAACAGACACTTGTTTTCTGAGGGCACAGGGCCCTCCACAGAACTCTTCCGTGGAGTGGGTTTGGTGCGACCATCATACTTCTTCAGGGTGATGAACACGCTGCCCGACGACCTGCACTTCTGGAAGAGCTGGGTCAGCTCCGTCAGGAACTGCTCGCTCTCGATCAACACCATTCCATTCTCTGCAGGTCCCAACTCTGTTGTCAGAAGCTGCAAGCCGGGCTATGCTTTCTTTCTCTGATCTGAAGTGGAAATTTCTGGTTTCTTTGAAGACTGGATTTTGTCATGTGATGTTTCGCTGCAATCTAGGCATGTGATGTTTTGCCTAGGTTGGATTGTGAGAGGGATCGTGATATTTTTTGTTGTGACCCCTCACATGCAGGGGCATGACTTTGGCCAGCTGAAAACATCTGTGGGTGGACTCTGAGGAGAGGAAATATTTAGAGGCCTATGGACAGAGACATCGCTTTTTGGATCGATTTAGCTGTGCTGATATTCATACTTTGACACATGGTTTCACATAGAGAAATGTCCCAGAGAGCTTCTCCAGGAAATCAAACTGAGTCTTTCGGCTTTTGCTGCTTCATGTTGACCATTGGACTGGACTGCTGGTTCCATGACAACTGGGTTTGGTAATCCCCTAATGACCCATCAACCCCAATCAACAGGAAGTAGACAAAGGAGGACTACAGCTCTTTTACCTACTAATCCCCTACCTAAGGTTGCAGAGGGGGTTGGAAAAAAAGTAAAGGTGCTTAAGAACCCTGAATAAAGTAGGTTTGGTAGAAAATCTAAGCCTACACAGAGCTGTCTTTCAGTATATATTTCAGCCATTTTACTTACCTATTGTCTTTTTCTTCTACTCTCTTTTGGGCTCCTGGCCGATGCACCTGTTACCCACTCTCCCTTTTTCTTTCCCCCCACTCCTCTCCTCACATGGCTCAGGGTCATGTCAACTCTGGACTCTCCCAGATGTCACTGTCACTGGCTATGCTTTCCCATTTATCCACAATAAACTTTTTCCTTCACCATACCTAAAAACAGTCATCTCCTTTCCTTTTTTATTTATTTATTTTTCATTTACTAAATAAGCAACGTTGTTGTTAGAACCTAAAGCAGAGTTCAAAGAGAACAAAGTGTTAGGAGTTAGGCATGAGCTTCAGGGAGGGTAAACTTACACAAGGAAGTCATCTTTACGGTATGGAGATGGAAGGCTCTGAAGGGTTTCAGCAAAGCATGACAGAGTTTGCTCTTACATTTTTTAATAGCTCCTTGGTTACTGCATAGAAGAAGATTAGAAAGGAGACATGAGAATGAAAGTAGTACTAGAAATATTTGTATGAGAAATTAAGGTAGGTTGGAATGTATACTCTTAGTACAAGTGTAGAAAAAAACAACAACCCTGAGTTCTTGCCTCTCTCTTGAATGTCACTCATGTAAGCTCTTAATCACAGAAATTCTTGATCAATTTAAGTCATAACTGGGATCACTGAAGAATTGTCAAGAAGATTTGAACTACTACTTGCTCTCAAGACAAAGCCATGAGCCAAGGAAACTAGGCAGCCCCTAGAAGCAAGAAAGAGGGAATCAATTCTTTGCTGGAGCATCTGAAAAGGAAGGAAACTTACTGACAGAGGCTAAAAGTGTGATGACAGCACCAGAATTAGACCTCCAGAATCGTCATCTTATTTTAAGTGATTAATTTTTTAACAGTTTGTTTTTAATAGAAGCAGTAGAAGACTGCAAAGTAACTTGGTGTACTTGGCTTTGAGCACTTCCTTAGACATGTAGAAAAAACCAAATGTGTTTAAAGAACGGATGAATTAGATGCTTTTCCTGCTCATTTTTCACATTGGAGGACATCCTGTTATTACCTGCATTACTTCCATCCCCCCCGTTCCACTAAATATGGCTCTTGAATTTCTCAAATACAATTCTCCATTCACAAAGAGAATTTTATATAGCACTCCCTATTATGTTTTCTTAGCTAAACCATATTTATAATTTGAGACTAAAAAAGACGTGGGCTAGTCAACATGTTTTTAAAATGGGGATTGTCAATTCATACCAAGAAAAAAATAAAAACTATACATTTGAATAAATACAATATTTATTTCCTTTGATGTCATAGCAAATAGAGGGACAAGTATCAATCTGGCACCAGTACAAAATGCTTTACTATTTTAAGAGTAATTTGTTTTCCAAATTACTCATTTATTTATTCAGGAAATATCATGTAAGTAATATTTGTATACTTTTGATGTGTGTTAGCTAACCAAAAATTAGGTAATAAAGTCAACTTACTACTAGTTGTTATGCATTGTTGCTCTCCTGTTTTTAATCAAGAATACTAGAATGAACAGATGTCTAGGTATTGTCTCTGTATTCTTATAGGTCATGGATCATGAACAACTTATTAGGTGAAGAACATGCAAATAGAAGAAGATTAAAAATGAAAGGGATAGTCAAATGCGACCTTTGTTGGGAGTTTCCTATGTCTCAGGTATTGCGCTAAGTTTTGCACATCTGTTCTTTAATCTCGAGATCATAGACTCAGCTGTGCACCCCAGAGCCAAGCCTTTCCCTTCCTTTAGCTGTGAGGACCAGAACAAAGGAGGAAGGGATGCAACACCAAGCTCATGCTGCATCTGTCTCCTCAGGCTTCTTTGTTTGTTTCCTGTCAATGAACTAAATGGCATTTTACTTATGAACTGTAGACAGGATGCCACAACACATAAATGTCACTGAATTTATTCCCCAACATATCAGGTCATATTTCATTCCTGTTCCAAGATTGTATTATGTACTAAAAACATAACACAGGAATCCAAGAAGACAAGGGATGGGGGGGGCATGTGTGTAGACTTTTCTTCTTTTCACTAGGAAACTCCTAGGTCTGAGCCATTTCACCCAATGTTAATGTTGGTTGATACTGATAAAAAAAACTAAAAATAAAATGTGTTTTGGAATGTTAACCTGCTTAGATAAACTGATGCTTAAAATAATGTGAAACCAGAGTAAAACTAGAGAGTTTCATAATTTGTGCAATGTCAATTCCTAGAAACCTCAGAGACATACTCCCAATGTCCAGGAAATTTGAACAGGCATGTTTTATGTGTATTAGATATGAACATGCGTTAAACTGACCTACACTTTTATATAAATCAACATATTCAGAAAAACAGCACCAATGTTCTCATCTCCATGGATAAGCTATTCAAGCTAAAGTTCTGGGATATGAGTGAGTTCTCACTTATTGCATTTTATCATCATAAAAAGAAAGCTATTTCACAAACTCTAAGCCTCTGAAACAAGCCTTTCCTGGTGCTTCAAACAAAGAAGCCTAGAACTGTGGCCACGAAAACCACAGGTAGCCAGCCTGCCTCAGCATTATCTACACTCAGTGCCTACCCAGCCTACCCTCAATCATTCCATCCCTCTGTATCACCATATCATGTCACCCCCCAACTCCTACTGAAGACCTCAGATTGAACCAAAGGCCAAAACAGCTGCCAGAACTCCAGCCCCCAACTCAACCACAGGACACTCCTGCCAAAAGACCAGAGAGAAGAAAGAAACCACCGAAAAAAACACCCATCCAACAAAGACAAACTCAGAAATCAGCACCTACACCTATAATTACCCCAAACTCAAATGCCTAGACAGCGGAGTAAGAAGACAATCCACAACAGCCAGAGCAGTATGTCTCCACCAGAGCCCAGCTACCCTAATGCAGCAAGCCCTGAAATATTCCAGCACAGCTGAAGCTTGAGAAACGACCTTAAAATCAACTTTATGAAAATGATAGAGCTCCTTAAAGAGGAAATGTATAAATCCCTTAAAGAAAGCCATGAAAACCCAAACAAACAATTGGAGGAAATGAATAAAAATATTCAAGATCGGAAAATGGAAATAGAAGCAGTAAAGAAAACACAAACTGAAGAAATCCTGGAAATTGAAAAATCTAGGTATGTGAACAAGGCACTGTACAGCGAGCATCACCAACAGAATACAGAGATGGAAGAGAGAATCTCAGGCACTGAAGATAAGATAAAAGAAATACATTGATCAAAGAAAATGGTATATCTAAAAAATAAAATAAAAATCCTGAAGCAAAACATCCAGGAAATCTAGGACACCATGAAAAGACCAAACCTAAGAATAATAGAAGACCCAGAAAATATTTTCAGTCCAATCATGGAAGAAAATTTTCCTAACTTAAAAAAGGACATACCTGCAAAGGTACGAGAAGCTTACAGAACACCAGATAGATTGGACCAGAAAAGAAATTTCTCTTGCCAAAAAATCATCAAAAAATTAACATGCAAAGAAAGAATACTAAAAGCTACAGTTTGGAAAAAAAAAAAAAGGCCAAGTACCATATAATGACAATCCTATTGTAATCCTACCCAACTCTTCGACAGAGACTCTAAAACCCAGAAGGGCCTAGACAATGTTCTATACACTCTAAGAAACCACAGATGCTATTAAACTTAGCAAAACTTTCAATAACCGTAGATGGAAAAAATGAGATATTTCATGATAAAGTCAAATTTAAACAGTATCGATCCACAAATCCAGCCCTAGAAAAGGTACCAGAAGAAAAACTCCAACCCAAGAAGGTTAAAAACACAGGAAATATGTAATCTCATACCAAAATCAAAAGAAGGGAAACACACACACAATACGACCACTACCAATAATAAAATAACAAGAATTAGCCATCACTGGTCATTGACATCTCTTAATATCAATAGACTCAGTTCCCTAATTAAAAGACACAGACTAACAGAATGGCTGCAAAAAACAGGATCCTTCCTTCTGTTGTGTACAAGAAATACACGTCTGAGATTCTTCCATCTCTTGTAGTCTGTTGGTTATGCTTACCTCTGTAGGCCTCTGAAAGGCTCTGCCCTGCAGACTATCAAAGCAGATGTTGAGAGTTATGGCTGAACTTTGGGCAAAAATGCAGGGAATCTTATGAAAGAAGTGGGAAATAATAGTAAGATCTGGAAAGGACAGGAGCTCCACAAAGAGAGCAACAACAGAAACAAAATATTTGAGCACAGGGGTCTTTCCTCAGACTCATACTCCAACCAAGTACCATGCATGGAGATAAACTAGAACCCCTGCACAGATGTAGCCATGGCAGTTCAATGTCCAAGTGGGTTTCA